GGGTGGGGTGGAATAAATCACTCTGCACGTAGTAAAGCACATGTTGTTTTGTGAAGGTGTGTGTCTACGCTAGTTGACTTACAAGGTAAAATGTATTTCTTACTGAATTTTGCTTTCAAAAGATTCCAGAACTCCTGCTCAACACTCCAGACAAGCTGAGCTCCCTACATGTCCCTGTCATCCTCGCTGGGACGCCTGCCTTGCTCTGACCAACCCCTCCACCCAGACTTCAGTCCTACCTCTTTTCCAACGGACCTCCCAGTCGGAACCTACCTGCCGGCAAGCAACATGAAATTCCTCAAAGAGCTCAGGCTTTGGGGCCACCCAGACCTAGGTGAAAATCCAAACTTGGCCACTTGATAGTCCCATGACGCCCTCACTAAGGACCTCAGTTCCTTTCTTTGACCCTCAGTTTCTCTGTCTATGAAGTGGCCATGGTAATGCCTATTGTACCAGAGAGTAGAGCGGATTCAAACGAAACAGGGTTGCAAACTCTGAGCCCTAAGCCCCACCAGCACACCAAGTTCACCCCACATCCTGCCCTTCAGGTGGAGTCCCCCGGCCTGAGTGGCCTCACCTGGAAGATGACAATCCAGGCGTAGCCAATGTTGTCAAAGTTGATGGCACCTTTGTGGGGGTTGGCGCTGCCCGTACGGCATACGTTGTAGTAGCGGTTCCAATTGACACACAGGCCGCTGGCATTGAGGTCCTGGCGCCCCGCCCCAAAGTCGTAGACATCATCCTTGGACAGACAGCACTCACGGCCCTGTTCCTTGAGCGGGGGAATCTCGTGGCAACCCATAATGCCATTGTCCCCCGATAGGGAGCAAATGAAGGGCATCTCATCATCATCCTCTGGCTGGTAAAAGGGGGGCAGGGCCACATCTCCTTGTCTGTCCAGGAGGTGGGAGTTGGCAAAAGAGAAGGGAAAGGGTCACTGCCAGGAGGACATGAGGGGGAGAAACCTACAGGCTCTTTCATGCCTCCAGGCCTTTGCACATGCTCTTCCCCCTTGTCCCCCACTTATGGTCACAAAACTGACCCACTGTGGAACCATTCCCAGGTGCCATTTCCCGGGGAGTCTTCTCTGAGCCTCAAGTAGGAATGATGCTGGGGTCCCTTGCCATGCACACACTTCCATCATTCCTCCAGGGGCATATGTGTCCAGCTCCCCTTGGAGGTCAGGAGCTCATGTGAAGTGAGGACTGGGTTAGTCTACTCTCCCAGCAACCCCAGTTCCCAAACATTGGTTCGTCAGCACAGTGTAAATAAACTCAACAAACAAATGCTTAATTTTATTGATTCCACAAATAATGGTCCACTCCCCTGCCTGCCCATTCCTTCCCAGTTATGTAACATTGGGCTGGTCACGTCCCCTTTCTGGACCTAGATTCACTCATCTGTAAAACAGAGATGAAAGACCTAGCCTGCCCATCGTGTAGGTTAATCTATAATTAACAGCGTTCCCACTCAAAGTTCCAACATAACTTGTATCTGCGGGACCTGGCCAGATGGTTCTAGGGTTTATCTGAGTGAGCCAAGAGCCAAAAGACGTTTTTTAAAAGAAGAGAGGTGAGTGGACACCAGTTCTACTAGAGAGAAAAACACTATACAACTACAAGCACAATTACTAATATATTGTGGCACTATAAAAGGGACAGAAAGATGGGCAGAAGACCACAAAGTACAGCAGGAAATTCATAAAGAGAACTTAATATGGTATAAAGACCCATTTAGTTAATAAATGGAAAATAAGATCCCTACATCACATCATAAATAAACTTAAATTTCTTAAAAACTTGGCACATCTATGTAAAATGAATAACAATTTTATTACTTTCGGTTTTATAGATAAATTGCATATAGAAGTAATAATATGATAGTTAAGTAAGCTATACTATAAAACTAAAATTAACAAATTCCTGATGGATCCAAGAACATAAATACAACAAACATAATCAAAAAAATATTTCAAGAAAATATGAAATATTTTTGTTAGCTGAAGTTCCTGAATAAGACACAAAATCCAAATTCTATAAAGGAAAAAGGTCTATAGAATTGGCCACATAAAAATGTAAATTTTCTATGTGACAAAATAAACCATACAAAGTAAAAAGACATGCCCAGGTTAGGATAAAGCTGAGGAAGACAAGTTTTTCAGTAAAAAAAAAAACAGTCAGCATTGTGGCCATGAAAATTGCTCAGTTCTGCTGTAGAAACATAAAAACAGTCATAAATGACAGTTAAACAAGTGGACCTGGTGTGTTCCAATAAAACTTTATTTGCGAAAGCTTGACGTAGGTCTGACTGAGGCTGCAGATCACAGTTTGCTGTCCTCCAGAATGAAGTATTTGCAATGTGTGTTGCAGATTCAAGTATAATGTAAAATTTTCTTATAAATCAATAAAAAAATTCATTAGGGAAAAAAAAGACATAAGATAATGCAGTAAAATTTAAAACAAATTAAAATGGTCAACCTATAATAAAAGATGCTCACCTTACTAATAACAGGAAAATGCAAACAAACTTAACAATGAAATCATTTTACAGCAATCCAAATGGCAAATATTTAAGAGCACTACATGGCAAGGGTTATTAACAACCTGCAATATGCAGATGATATAACCTTGCTTGCTAAAAGTGAAGAGGACTTAAAACATTTACTGATGAAGATCAAAGAGCACAGCCTTCGATATGGATTACATCTCAATGTCAAGAAAACAAAAATCCTCACCACTGGACCAATAAACAACATTCTTACCAACGGAGAAAAGATTGAAGTTGTCAAGGACTTCATTCTTCTTGGATCAACTATCAACACTCACGGAAGCAGCAGTCAAGAGATCAGACAACGTATTGCATTAGGCAAATCTGCTGCACTAGACCTTTTTAAAGTGTTGAAGAGCAAAGATGTCAGCTTGGGAACTAAGGTGCGCCTGACCTAAGCCATTGTGTTTTCAATAACCTCATATGGATGCGAAAGCTGGACAGTGAATAAGGAAGATCGTAGAAGAATTGATGTCTTTGAGTTGTGGTGTTGGAGGATAATACTAAAAGTACCATGGGCTGCCAAAAGAACCAATAGATCTGTTTTGGAAGAAGTGCAGCCAGAGTGCTCCTTAGAGGCCAAGATGGCCAAACTTCGTCTCTCATACTTTGGACATATTGTCAAGAGGGAACAGTTGCTGGAGAAGGATGTCATGCTGGGTAAGATGGAGGGTCAGAGAAAAAGAGGAAGACCCCCAAAGAGATGGATTGGCCAGGTGGCAGCATTGATGGCGTCAAGTGTGGCAGCGGTAGTGAGGTTGGCCCAGGATCGGACATTGTTTCATTCTGCTGTGCATGGAACCGTCCTATGAGTCGGTTCTGACTTGATGGCACCTAACAACAACAACAACATGGCAAGGTTGGTTTGAACTGTAAGGTCAATGGTTCAAATTCACCAACCGCTCCTTGGAAATGCTACACATAATTGCTAGGAAGTAGAACCAACTCGACAGCACTTAACAACAACAACAAGGATATCAAATGTGAGAAGGGTATGGGAAAATATACATTTTCATATTTGTTAGAGAAAGTACAAATTGATCCAACCATTTTAGAGTATAATTTGGGAACATGCATCAACAATTAAAATATGTAATTGGGTCACCTAATTCTAATAAAGGCACCAATACAATTTAATGAAGAAAGAATACATTTTTCAAGAAGTAGCTCTGGTTCAGTTAAACATCCCTATTTTTTTTACCTATGACCCCACATATACAAAAGTGATTTTAGAAGGACTGTAGACTTAAATATAAAACGTAAGGCAAGAAAGCTTCTAAAGGAAAACACTGAAGAGCATTTCCATGACCTTGGGTTAGGAAAACATTTCTTAAACAGAACACAAAAAGCATCACCTATAAAAGAAAAAAAATGGACAAATTGGACTTTATTGCACCTAAAAGTCTCTGCTCATCAAAAGACGCCATTAAGAGAGTAAAGGCAAGAAACTCAGACTGGGATGAGACATTTGCAATATATATATGATCAACAAAAGACTTAGATCCAGAATGTGTAGAGAACAATTACAGATTGATGAGGAAAAAAATAATCAATTGAAAAGTAGACACTTCATAACACTTCATAAGATTTCTATAAATGGCTAGAAAATGCATGAAAGGAAACTATCATCATTAATCATCCGGACTATGAAAATTAAAACAATTAGTTACCAGAACACACTACTAGGAGGAAAACTTTATGAGTAGCAGTGGAATGTAATCTGGAAGATAACCCCTCAGGTTGGAAGATACTCAAAATACAACTAGAAAAGAGCTAGCAACTCAAAGTCGAATTGGCCTTTATAATGTGGATGGAATAAGGCTTCCAGGGCCTCTATTTGCTTATATGGCAAGACTCAAAATAAGAAGAAACAGCTACAAATGTCCACTAATATTATTAATGGATCTAGGAAAATTGGAAATCATCAAAACTTCACTGGGATGCATAAAGATCAATGTCCTAGAATGAATGAGCTGAAATGGACTGGTATTGGTCATTCTGAATCTGACAACCGTATGGTCTTCTATGGCTGGAAAGACAAGTCGAATAGGAAAAGTATTACATTCATCATCAAAAAGAGCATTTCAAGATCTATCCTGATGTACAATACTAATACTGTCAGTGACAGGATAATATCCTGGTGAGGCGCTATAGGATAAGCATAGGACTGCAAGGTCAGTTTGAACTACCAGGTAAATAGTTCAAACTTACCAGTCATTCCTTGGAGACCCTACACTGAGTCACTCTCAATCAAAACCAATTCAATGGCACTTAACAACAGCAACACAGAAAACCAGTTCATATTATTAACATTCAGATTTAGACACCAACCACTAAATGCCAAAGATGAGCAAGATTTTTATCAACGATCAGTCAGAAATTGATCAAGCAAGCAGTCAGGATGCATTGATAATTACCAGCAATTGGAATGTGAAAGTTGGAAGCAAAAAGAAAGATTGGTAATTGGAAAATATGCCAGAGGTCACAGATGGAGTTTTGCAGATCAACAACTCATTCATTGTAAATACCTTTTCCAACAATATAAACAGCAGCTATACTCATGAACCTCAACACATAGAAATCAAATTGACTACATCTGTGGAAACAGATGATGAAGAAACTCAGTATCATCAGTTAGAACAAGGTCAGGGCCAACTGGACTACAGACCATCAATTACTGTTATGCAAGTTTAAGATGAAGCTGAAGAAAATTTAAAACAGGTCCACAAGAGCCAAAGTACGATCTTGAGTACATCTCACCTGAATTTAGAGATTCTATCAAGAGTAGACTTAATTCATTGAACACAAATGAAAAAGACTAAAAAGTTATGGGATGACATCAAAGGCATCATACAGGACGAAAGTAAAAAGTTGTTTAAAAAGACACAAAAATGGTTGTTAAAAGAAAAGACCAAAATGGATGACAGGAAAGACTCTGAAAATTGATCTTGAACATGGAGTGGCTAAAACAAATGGAAGAAGTGATGAAGTAAAAGAGCTGAACGGAAGATCTCCAATGGCAGCCTGAGAAGACAAAATAAAGTATTGTAATGAAATGTGCATAGACTTTGAGTTAGAAAATCAAAAAGGACAACATGCTCAACATTTCTCAAGCTGAAAGAACTGAAGAAGAAATTCAAGCCTTCAGCTGCAATTCTTGATGGAGGAAGCATCAGAAGAAGATAGAGGGAACACACAGTCACTGTACAGAAACAATTGGTCGGCATCCTACCATTTCAGGAGGTAGCATACGAACAAGAACTGATGGTACAGAAGAAAGACACCCAATCTGCACTAAAGGTATTGGTGAAAAACAAGGCTCCAGGAATTGACAGGATACCAATTA